TTTGATAACAGAATAAACAAATTAATGATGATTGGAAAAAAACGGGAAATAGTTCCTTAAGGTTTTCCGCATCACCGAGACAGTAGGAATGTCAGAACTTTTCATTGTTTCGTGTACCGACTGCTACACATGTCGAAATTGAAGACATCACAATGATTCATCCAGCCTGTGCGTGGAGAATGAATCAGTTGTGGCCGCTGAAACAATCTGAGGTGTTGCAGGAATTGGAAATACTGCAACTTCTGAGGGCAAACGAATGCTGTTGGCAGTTTTGGAGCGCTAATTTGATTGGGTGCCCTTAAGGTGAGTGTCGGGTGAAAAGGTGAACAGCGAACGGCATAGGTAATTCACTAGAAACATCAAAAGCTCCTCGAATTCGGCGATACTGTGTGGTGCACAACCCCAGAGATTCCAGTTTTTTTCACATAAATCTTGCAGTGCAGTCCACTGACTATATTGGTGGCCATTCTTTATGAGCCTTCCGGAATCTTACAATCATGTAACAGCCATGGGTTCCACACTTGGATGGCACAGTCTATGCGGAGTTGAATGTAGGCTGATAACCATCGTGATAACAGCATACACTTGGGAGTAGCAAGTAGTAGTATCTAGCCCATTCGATTATTCAGAGGCACCAGACACTATTGATGGTCTTGAGCGTTGGTTTTATTCCTTCGAAGTTCGGTAATTCCCCACTATTTGAATGTATTCAAATGCGATCTCCGAAAGAGTGAAACTCATACCCAAGACTATCCAGAGTGCCTGGTGTCTCTGAACAATCGAATGGGCTAATCCGATTCTGCTACTCTAAAGCTAATTGAGCCATTTGCACAAGGTGATGATCGTTGACCGTGTAGCTCAGGGGTAGGGGTTTGAAGTCACAGCCCGCAAAATCGCGGTTCGAGTCCTGACAAGGGANACACAAAAAGTACACACGGCCGATGAGTCCGAAACAGGAGGAAACAGTTGTCTCGGTGCTCGCTGTCGGTTATCACAAACAGTTCCATCACTCGTACAGGCATCGGTTTGAATTTTTCAGATGCTCGCTTTAACAAACCAACATGTCTCGCAGCAGCGGACGACGCACTGGAGCAGTTTGAAGAATATTTATGGTCATTGTGAACAAGGACACCAAGATCCTTCTCATCCGAGACAAACGGAAGCTGTCAAGGGTGTAATGAAGACAAACGCAGGTTGTAAGAGACAAATACACGCATTGTGTTCAATGGTGGAAAGAGGCCTTGCTTGAATGTTGAGCCATTGTAAGATTCGATCACTATCAGAAATCAAGGGCGAAGGTGATATATCACCAACTCACGAGAAACACCTTATTACCAGGTAAAACAAGTTTGAAATTAGATAAACCTAATCACCTAAAGACTGTTTGGATGAGTTCAAACTCAAGTTAGTTCAATTTGTACAACCACTGCAACCATTATCCAGTGTGTGACGGTTTTGGTTGCTGTCTCATGACTTCCCATTTGGACGAGGGAATGACTGAACGAAAAATGAGAACCTTCAAATCATTGTCAGAGTGAGAATTCACGAGGACTAAGTTTTGTCAGGAATTTGAGAAGATCCACGAACGCCACTGTTTGCAGAACTAGTCTATATCATTCAATATCTTTAACTTTTGATTACGCTGGTCCCGACATCTTCATTCAGAAAGCCTAAAGCGGCTTATGTGAGCAAGTCTCCCGGTCAGGGTTTTTATACCTTCATGGCAAGTCGGATTTTGACCACTCTTAACTTTTTCCACTCGACATACACCATGCGCCTTGGCAATCTATCGAACGACATGCGCAGCACATGTCCGTAATCAGTGTGATCTCCGAAGATCGACCACTTGTTCCGGTGGGCAACCGCAAGATTCCTAAAATTATGCGCCTAACCTCAGCATTGCTCGTCCAGGTTTCCCTATCAGACTTAAGTTGTAAAGATATTGCCGTTCTACATGAAAGATAGTATTCAACGTTTAAGATCTGTTTTGCAGCAAATAGGTATTGGCAGTGGTAACAACATTGGTAATAGCATAGTAGTATTAGTGTTGTGAGGTACTACTCTCACAAATGTGAGCAGTATGCAAAATAGTACGGTTGGCGGTTGCCTTCAACTATCAAAATTAACAAGATCACTGAAGGCGAATTCCTGGGCCCTAAAGAATAACTACGGACTGCTTCAGTCATTACTTGGTGTGCTGCCGCAAATTGCGATGATATGTTTCAAATGAGATGTCTATTATATGAATTCCAAGTGATTGATATCTCAAGTGTAATCTTCACTGAACAACTTTCCTCATCCGGGCACTGCCTTGTGGGAATTATAACAACTGCTGCCGTCGTTTTAGGAATTTGTGAATCTGGAAAGCCAAAACTTCATGATCGGTTAGGTGCCTTACAGGTGCAGCCAACGTGAATACATCCATGGCACGCTGCGCTTGGACAATTAGCGCCTTTTCCCGCAGATCGTCCGGCGAACTCTCCGCAAAATGATCCAGCAATAATTTTCAGTGAGTGGCTTCGTTCACAGTTGGCAGCGCTCAATCCAAACAGGGTTCGCAGTGCTACGGCATGCCACAGGGAATCCGCAACAACTCCGAGCTGCACCGTCCTGAAGCTCCACAACGCCTTCTGAAGGTCGGCTGGGGTGTCAAAACCCGCGATCAAACGTCTTTCGCGGCGGCCCACCCCATCTTCTCTGGGTCTCTTCGCGTCGCATCCAATACCGCCCGCACCTAGCCCTTAAGAAGTCCTCGGATGGCCAGCAACTTACCCCGGTCCAACCGTATCGCTGCCAGCTCCGCGACGTCCTCAAAATCCTCTAGGAACGTGCACGTGCGTCTCCATCCTTGAAGGCTTCAGGCCATTGAACCTTCATCCTGAGCCGGGCGACGGTGGTGCCCGGCCGAGGAAAGTCGTTTATTGTAGATTAATGTTGAGATATCAATAATTTGGTATTCGCATAGCAGACATCTCATCTGAAACATGTCATTGTAATTCCCGGCAGCACACCGGGGATAATGCCTAAAACAGTCTGTAGTTATTCTTAGGGACCCAGAAATCTCAGTGATCTCGTTAATATTCGATCGAGGAAGGGAACTGTCAACCGCTTTATCTTGCATACTTCTAACAAATGTGAGTAGTAGTACCTCACAAAAGTCATCATCATCATCATCATTGTACCGCGTGATACAATGAAGCGAACTTCACTGATCACTGCCAAGCTCATAATGCATACAAGATAAGTAAGAATGTGTAAGGAGGACAGGGATTAGACCTATTCCTAGGGCTGGGAAAAGAAAGCGAACCTTTATGGTCAACACACAGAGTGAACAGTCCAGCTATGCATACATACTATTTCAAGCATTCTGGTACGATAATGAAGTGACAACAAGATCACTATTACTGTCGATTGGTAGCCATGACCTTCAGTGTCTCCAACCATCCGGTTACGCAGTCTTTTGGACCTAAACCCGGAATCTATGTACACTTCTTCATGCGTCATCTCCACGTGGCTTTCTCCAGCCTGAAACAGCCACTGCAAATAAGGCGCATTGCGGTAGGTGACCGTCGGACNGACATAAGCAAGACATGTCCTATTGAGCTGCCTTCGATGCGATAGAGAGTTCTTGTTTGGGATATTCCCAAACACTCGATGACTTGGTTCTAAGTTACTAACCCGCTCACTCCATCACATTTGGGCCACACTACGCAGGTATAACCCTTGGTAACCGCGCTAGTATATTTTATCGTAAGTGCTTGTATCTCTCACTGGACCTTTTCGGTTCATGGCGTTTTGTTTGCTTCGCCTTGCAGGTTTAACCTCAACCCCGCCACCCACAGAAGACCACCTGTCTGCCTCGTGTTTCCTCGCCATCCCCGTGTCCCTCATCCCCATCGCCGTTCCCCGTCGTCGTTCGCCCTCAAAGCCTCGTATCGTCGTCTCCCGTTGTGAGAATACGAGCCGAGGGACATCCCGTCGCGCATATTCGTTCACTCCGCTGCGCCGCGAGAGCCCGGAGTACGTTCGCATTACATAGGTATCGATTGTCAAAAACCCCTAGGCGATGGATGTATTCTACCCGCAAAATCTAGGTCTCATCACTGTAAAGCGAAGTATACGCGACTTTTCAACTTCAGTGAAACGTCACGTCGCCACCACAGGTGCGTAT